ACACTTTGGAGTAAAGCATGACGCTTACGAAGACAGAGATTAGGCTGTTAGGAAAATTTATTGAGAGAACTGTTTGTTTTCATTTGTGCAATCTTTGACATAGAAGTTAAAAATATATAATTAGTTTTAATATTGGAAAAGTAAATTAGGAAAAAAAAATCACCATTTTGTTATAAATATATTCGTTGCATGCTGTATTAATTTCACTTATTATCATAAATTAAACACATAAGTAGCAATGGATTTTTATCTTTAGTTAATAAATATATTTTTAGATTATTCTTTACCTTTAGTCATATAGTACTTATTTTAAATTATTCAAATAAATTACCTTTAAGTTTTTCATATATTTAATAACATAATATAGCTTTTTGCAACTTACATTTACTATGTATATTTTACAACGGAGAAAACAAAATCTAATATAAGAGTAAAAATAAACAGTTATAACAAAATTTAGGAGTTTGATAATTTTTTGCACCAAATTAATGCAATTAATTTTTTTAATGTTGACTTTAAGTTCTTGAAAAATTATTAAAATAGTTTTTTAAGAGTTCGATATGTATTATTATATATATGTTTAGTGAAATACTCTAGTTTGAAAAAAATTGTGCTATTTATCAGGGTTTGTTGATTTAAATCAGCTTGATTTAAATCAATTTTTTTTTTTTTAAAAATCATTGATTTAAATTAATTATTTCTTTTTAAATATATATATTGATTTTAATTGTTAAAAATCAGTATTTAAATTATTGATACTTTTATGATACTAATGTTAATTAAAATTCCACCTTTTGAATGAAAAAGCGTGGTCTCACGGATTTGCAAAGTCTCACGGATTTGTTCTTGATTTTAACGGGATGAAATGCAAACTTAATAATTTTACTCGGTTACCATCGCAACTTCATCTAAAAGTTTTGGCTTTCGAATTCCTATTTGATTTTTGGTAACTAGAAAAACTCGTTAAAAGTTTTTCACCCAAATGATAACTTAATAATTAAGCAGAATGTTATTCTTAATAACGTTTTATAATTTTTATATTCAGCATTTTAATCGCATAAGTTGACTGGACGCAATTTTATATAAGGCTTATAATAAAAGAAAACCTAATTTCATTACTGCTTAGTAATTGTAAAATAGTTAATAAGTTTATATATCGATTTAAATAAGTTTACCATAGAATGTTGCGTTATAACGTTATAATAATGAAACACATCTTTTATTTTTAAGCCTTCAATTTGGAATGATAATCAAAAACAGAATAAGCTAAGAGGGAAGGATAAATAAAATACCGTTAAATTAGAGAAAGGAAGAAAAAAAAGAACAAAAAAACAGCCTCATGACACAACTAGTCAAAAAAGTCCCCTCGGTGAGAATTTTGTTTTTGAGATTTATTTTTAAGAAACATGACATTTTTCACTATTTTTATATAATTATAATATAAATATATTTTAATATAAAGTTAAAGTAGAGTGTTTTTTTTTTAAAATTTGACATCCACTATACAAAAGATATCGACTAAAAGACATTGATATCCAAAAGATATAAACTTGATAATAACAAATATGTACTGCCACTTTTTCAAAACATTGATTATTTTTCGTGGTTGGATATTAATGGATTTAACTGCTGAATAAAAATGAAATGAAATGCTTCTTGAAGAGATAATTTAATGAGATTTTAAATACTTAACTAATTATGCATTAACATTCAATTCAATTTTAAATAGGCATAAAAACTGTTAGGCAAATGCACTCTGAATTTAGCGTCGGATTTGAATCATAGAGCTGGAATAGAAGTAGAGCAAACACCCTGTTATATTTCGCCATCTTTCTTCGCCCTCTCCTGTCACGTGCTATCTCTTTCTGCGATTTTAGCGAGGAAAAAAGGGCGTCGTGTGACATTTGAGATTAGTTCTCTTTTTGTGGTAGATTCGAACTCCGATTTTTTAACATGTATAAACTGTACAAAAATGTGTACATTTTTTCAAAATTAAAAAAAAAATTAATTTTTTAAATGACTTCAAAACCAGTAAAAACGTATCTTACTATAACAACGTATAGGTACTTTTTAAGTTTTAAAATTATTTTAAAATGTTTGTGCAATTTTCACTAGCAAAACAAACCTCATATTTGTAATTGAAGTTAAAAATTGATTTTTTTTCTACAAAATTATTATTTGAAATTATTAAAATACAAAAAAATTACTTATTAATTAATTAATAATATTTTTTTTAAACTTGTTTTAATAAAAATTTTAACTAATAATGTATATATTTTTAAAAAGAAACTACAATTAATTCAAAATGCGATTTTTATTTTTTAAAGTTTGTTAAGTTTTATTTATTATTCTTGAGATATATAATTATAAAGTATGTATCACATTTTAGACTTTAACTTAGGTAGTTGTTTATTTCTGAGAAAACCGTGTTTAAATTTTAATCCAACATAGCAAACAATAGTATAAAATTTTGAAAAATCTTAAATATATCTTTGCAGATAATGAGAATTTTTAAAAACATTTATAAGAAAGGATTTAAGACGTCAATAAGGCAAAAAATAAATTTAAGATTGAGAAGGAAAATGCTGCCCCTCATTAAAAAAAAGATTCACTTTTTCAATTTTCTGATTTTATTTTTACTTTACGCTTGCTATGATAAGTTTAAACAGCTATAACACTTCTGATAGTATTCTAGATTTTTTTCATGTATTGTTGCAATTAAAAAAGAACGATTTCAATTGAAAACGATCTGATGATTTTATTTAAAAAAAAACTGATTATTAAGGGTTGACGATCTTTGCTCAATCAATCTCAATTAGAAAAAAAGAGAGAAAGAAGAGTTTTTTCGTTAGAAAACAGACGAAGGAAAAATACAGAGTAAATAAACGAAAAAGGAAAGAAACAACGGTGCTACCAAAAATTCGCTTACTACATTTTAAAACTAAACTTTAAAACAAATTATGTATTAATAATATATTATTCAATGTAGTCATTACTTTATGGTCTAATTGCATTCTTATTCGTTTATATGTAATATAGTTTTAAAGGTGTAAATTTGGATTTTAGAATGAACAAAATGGAATAATCGAGATTCATATGATGTTTTAAAGAAAAGAAGAGCATGCTAAAAGTTAATTTATATTGCAAATAAAACAATTGTAATTCTAAAAAGCGATAAATTAATTTTATTTTAGCAACTTTCAATCTGAGTTTTGTTTCAGAATCAGAATTTCATAAAAGCTATTATTCGAATTTTGTATAAGAATATATATCTTCGGTGAGCTTTTTATTCTGGACATAGCTCAAAATGAGCGTTTAAGAAAATGAACATAACTTAAAATGCGTGTTTTAGAAAATTGACATAGCCCAAAATGCGTATTTTAAATAAATGGACATAGCTCAAAATGAGTGTTTAAAAAAATGGACATAGCTTAAAATGCGTTTTTTAGAAAATTGCCATAATGTCTTTTCAAAAAAGACTAATTCAAAATAATGTACTAAGTGATTGATGCAAATGAACGACATCACATTGCGAAGTTATTTGGATTAGACCTGAAAATTAAATTTTCAGTTAGTAGCCAGTGGCCGGTAGACTTAGTAGTCGCTTTTTCCTCATACCTAATGAGTCGGTCACAGATATCGATAGGTCCTTTTCATTTAACAGCCATTTTTCTCAAACTTTTTTTGTTTGTTGTTGTTGCTTGGATTAAGATTTTTTTTAAATTAATAAAATAGAAACAATCTACGACTATAAATGTTAATTAAACAATAAAAATGATATAAATGTGTGGCAAAATTTATTTAAACATACTGACTTTGAAGATTTGGGGAGGCAAAATACATTTATTGTACACATTACAACAAACATGTGAATTTTTAAAGAACTCTCCTTGCATACGAATGTTTGTACCACAAATTGATGGATTCTGAAGTATCAAAATTTTGAATGGTGACATTGGGCATTTAATTGAAAATTCTGTTTTCCAGAATCTCGACATTAATAAACTATTATCATTAAACGATTTTTTAAAAAAAGCGATTGGAAAAAATGACCGATTGTTTACTTAATTTAAGTTACCACTTTTTTTTGTTGAATCGCACGTGATGAATGGTTATTTTCGGGTCTAATTTCATGAATTTATTCCTTATAAAAAGAACAATCCTCATAACGGAATCAAATGCCATACCCATTTTCTTAAACACTCATTTTAAGTCGTGTATAGAATGAAAAGTCACCGACAATATTCTAAATTTTTATCCTCACTTTCGAATTTTAAAGCTTTCTTGTCGAAAAAAAATCTTGAAAGAATCTATTCACTTTTGCTATTCAGAAGCTAGAGAACTTTTGTTTAGTTTAACTTTCTGATTCTTTCCTTGTTAAGTTTTACTTGTTTGCATTTTGCTTATAGTTAGTTTTTGTTTGAGTATCCCATTTTCTCACTTTTTTTTTCTTCGAAAAAACTATGTTCACTTTTACCTTGTTGCGTTGGAAATGAAAGAAAACATTTAGTCCGTTTATTTTGTTCCAACTAACATATTTTCATATATTTTCTTGCTGTTTAATCACTTTTATTTTCTTAAATTAGTAATTTAACAGATATTTATTTCCACTAACTTATTAAGTTTGCATGCAATAGAGAGTTTTTTTTTTCTGCTTTGCTGTAAGTAAAAAATTCCCTTGCAGCCATTTATTAAAAATAAAAATATATGTTGCTAATAAATATTATTTTCCATTAGGTGAATAATCTTTTAAAGCAAACATTAGTCGAGATATATTACAGATTATATTAATACGATATGTTTCGAATAGCGACTCTAATTTGAAGATTTATTGTGAATCATTCGAATTACAATCTCATGTATCTCTACTTAGTTACTTTATTTCGGTATAAAATGTCACATATCTGACAAATTGAGCCATCAAAACACATTTTATCTGTCTTCGTCTATTCGCCATTATGTGTTTTCTCATTGTTCCATAAAATTGAAAGTGCATGGCACTTGTCGGTATCTGGAATTTGTTAGAATACCATTTGCTTCTGTTTGGACAAATTATTCAGGGGTGAAAAAAAAACACACACACACAGTGGGGAAAATCACTCAGAGAAAGAAAAATTCACCTGCCAGATTTACATATGAAAACATTGAAAAAAATCGTTTTGCCTGTCAAACGGTTTGACGTTTTCATCTGACATAGAATAATGTCTGCTTCCTTGCATGGGTGGTGACCAGTATGACGTCACTGGAACAATGTGAAATCCGCATCGGCAAGTGTTAACCTCTAAATGAGACCTCCTCTTCCGTTTACAAGGGGAATATACAATATCCCTCCCCCCTTCTTTTTCCAAAAAAGAAATTGCCCTGTTTAAAATGTCGGCACGAAATCCTCTGTATTTCAGTTATATGCATATTCTAAGTAGCGTACAGTCATGACGGAAAATTCAAATACTATGACTTCTAGGGATTTTGGACTTTTCGCTGTGTTCGGTGTGATAAGTCTTCAAATTATTGTAGTTAAATCCTACCCCATGGTAAGTACATTTTTAAATTTAATTACTTATCAAACAATATGTAAATTTTTTTTGATAGTCGCAAGTGTAATAACGAAGCACTTATATAGTAATTAATACCCATAGTAATTAATTAGTCAATCAAAGAGAATATAGAATATTCCCTTTGAATTGATTATCAGAATCTATCAAATTTGAAACTCTTTTGACGATAACGTTTTAAATAAAAATATATAAAGTGGTATTTTTTAATGTAAAAGTAAATAAATTATATTTTCTGTTGAACCCTTCTTTTAATATTTTTAGAAAATTTAATTCGAAAGTATAGGTGGCATATAGAGGTTAGAGATTTTATAAAAAAATCTTAGATAAGTATACGGGAAAGCAGATATTTGGTTAATTTAACTACACTGTAAAAATTTCCGGAACAAATTGCGGTATAAAGTACCGGCGCTTTAGGTGCATTATCCGTAAAATCCATTTTTACCTGAAAATGTACCGTAAAATATTATATCATAACTTTTGCAGTAATATTTATTTGATTAAAGTGATTCAATGATTTTGCTATTATTTCTGTAAAAAGTACGGTTTATCAGATTTTTTGTTCCGTTACATGATCCGGCAGAAATGGATTTTACCGGTATGGTAACTAAATATGGTACGGTAAAAGTACTATGGCCGGTACTTTTTACCTTAATTTGATCTGGAATTTTTTAGTGGGCAAGATTTTTCGTTTCTAACAAATAAAACTAAAAACATATAAATACAACACTAGGAAATTTATTTTGAACAGTGGGCCAAATAAAAAAAAAGCACACACTTTAATAGCTTTTAATCCTTAAGGCCAAATTTTAATTCACTAAGAGGCGATCTTATGTTTCAAGGGTCTGAACATAAATATGCTATAAAAAAAAAAAGATAAATTGAAATTACTACTACTAAACTCAGTGGCGCGACAGACCATAGCCATAATTGAAATAAAGGGGTCTAAATTTTTAACCATTGATTTGACTCAACAATTGGGACCATATTTTCCTGATTATGTCAATCTCTCATAATTATATGGTCAAGAATTCAGATCCTTCGTCAAATTTAGAGAAAGTAGGTTTTTATATCGAATTTTGTAATTTTAAATATTTTCTGCTCTTATTAATTAGCATATTTAAGGATAGGATCTTGAATCTTCAAGTGATCTTATAATTGCACGTTTAAATCTCACTATTAGGTCAAAAACTATAAATTTTTCTTTCTCTCAGAACCCACACGGAGAAAAGTTCCGGCCAAATTATTGCATGGTAATGATATTTCTGGTTAAAAAAACAACAACATAATTCCGGTTACTAAAACCAAAACATATGGTATTTTACCATTCATTTGATAATTTTTCAGTTCATTTGGTAACGGTTTATGGTTAAATTCAGAATTTATAATCATAGTTCTTATTACCACACATTTAGTAAAAAATACAAAACAGAAAAATAAATTAAACGAATAAATGGTTTTTACCAATCACATACTTTTTAACTATATTTTAATATTAATTTTACAAAATTCATTACCATAGTGAATCGCTAAAATTTCCGGGCTTTTTATTGTTCCCATGGCGCCAGGAACACAGTAATTTTTACCATACTTCGGTCATTTGAAATATGCTTTTTTTCTAAGTACAAAGCTTTAACCTTTTAAAGCTACAATCTAAAGCAAATGACTTTCTGTCTTATGATTTCTAAAGTGTTATGTCATATTGCAACTTATCTTGTACGAACATCACTAAAAAATAGCTACAAAAAAAAAAAAAANAAAAAAAAAAAAAAAAAAAAAAAAAAAAAAAAAAAAAAAAAAAAAAAAAAAAGAGTTGATAGTCGTGCGAAAAAGTATTAAATAAGTTACGATTAACAAAACTTTAAATTGTGGTATGAATAACAACCCGCAACCCCCGTTGTGCGAGGCATCACATAAGGTTAGAGGGCTCTCGCTCCAGAAAAATAACACCATAAGTTACAATAAAAGTATTTTTTTAATTTATAAGATATTTTTCTCTTTATAAAAATAACTTTTAAGTAAACTTTGAATATATAATTATTGTAAGATAGTGCGATACTTTTTTATATTATTAAAACAAATTTCATTACAATGTGGTAATTGTACGCAATGTTTCATTTCAATACTTTCTCTAAATTTCGCCTTTTCATCGCAAGTAAGATTTTTATTTTCTTAAATAAAAAAAAAATTAATAATTATAAAAACCTGAATATTTTTTCAATGTAGTGTTTTTGTTTTATATTATAATTTTAAATTTTGTGTGATAAGTTTAAGATAAGGCACACTTATAAGTCATGTGGCGAGGCACAACTAAGTCGATGAACGCAACTGCCTTTAAATCTAAGATCCCATTTTCTAAAAAAAATTTTTTACATTTTCTGCTTAGGTGAAATTGGATTTTGCAAAAAGATAAGAATCTAGTCAAATTCATAAAAAAGTCAGGGTTTTTTTAAAATATTTTCAGTTGATTTTACATGAAGTAATATTATTACAAAATATTATCTAAAAACTGTGACTTGATATTTAATAAATCAAAAGGCAGGCCATATTATTTAAAAATTAAAAACATGTGTTCAACAAAAGCTGTTTTATTTGTGGACATGCTGTTATAGTTTTAATGAAATTTTAAAGATAATTGAGAAACCTATTGAGCTCATGACTCTTAAAAAAAGTGCCATTTCAAGTTCAAGTCCCAACAGAATGAATTCAGAATCATGAATCGGCAAATCATGTAAATAAAAAATAAAACAGTTTTATTTTTAAAAAAATTTCATAATGGTGTTCCACATTAAACTATCGAAAAAAATTTTAAAGAACTGTAAATTCTTATAATCAATTCAATAATAAGCAAATTATACTCAGTTCTATTTTTTAAAATTAAAAAAATAATAACTTTTTTACTAAAATGCAAATAGTTTTTTTTTTTGTTTTCTAAGACAAAAGTTTATAAACTGGAGAAAAATTATTACAATTAATCATACATGTAAAAGAAAGAAATAATGACTTTTTTTTGCATAATTTATTATTTAAATTTTAGTACAATTTTCATTAATGTATCATTTTTTCGAAAAATTAATTTTCGCACGACTTTACTTTTGACTGCATTTATTGTTTATAGATGAATAAATTATATTTAAAAAATTAAAATTAGGTTTTTTTAATAGTTTATTGAATTTAGAAAATTTAAATACATAAGGGATCTCAAATTAGTATGTAAAAAAAACGCTGTTAAAATATGATGAATCACAATAAAGGATATTAAAAATCACAAAACAATTTTTATTGCCGGATAAAAGGTTTATTATGATCAACTTTTAAATTTGTTTAACTTTTCCAGCAATCAAACAAGTTTTTATGATTTTTCCCTCGCTTTTCTCAATCGTGATTCATCAGATGTTAATAAAAAATTTAATTTTTCTTTTTTTCAATACTAATTTCATTTCACCAATATTAACTTATGGTTATTAATTTACCTTCAATGTTAAATCCTTTTTTCTTTCCTCCAGTATTAATATTGTAGAATCAATGAATATTATTTATATATCTAATTAATTTTCTCCAATACTAGTTTTTTTGTACATAATTTTTACTTAATTTCTCATGAGGATTTCTTTATGTATAACAGTGGAGATTATAGAACACAGTTATTTCAGACACAGTACTTCTATCCACAGTACTTCTGTACAGTGTCAGACACTGTACTTCTATTATTTTGAGAGTCTTACTCAAATATCTAGTGACTATAATTTGGAATCAATGGATATGATTGAGCCAAAAAATTTAGGTATACATTTTAGAAAAATCTCCTATTTCAAATATTTCGCTGCTGTTTTTCCTGAACTATTAGGACCATATTATTTATATTACGGCTCCAGTCATTTTTTTTGAGGGTAAAGGATCCAAATTTGACAAAAAAAGGTATATTTATTCAGAGAAAGTAGTGTCTGATTTCGCAACTTTATACTATGAGCAAACTAAGCGGCATAGTTAAGTTCAACCCTTTAAACAATTAAGGTTACATCTTAGTGCTTTGAAATTTGATCATTAGATCGAAAGTTAATGAGTTGTTCCGTTTTTTTTCGCTCTTTTTAATTATTATTTTACTCACTTATCATTATTTATTATTATTATTATTGCTCACTGTACATTTGACATGCACACAAAAGTCACGTTAACGCAACAAACTTTAATCCTGATAAGTTTTTATTGTGTAAATAATTTAAAATTAAGACTGCTATGCCAATTATCCTTTCAAGATATTCGTTTTTATTCAAACCGTAAAAATAATCTGTTATATTTACGGGAAAAAACTGTCAGCTGTCTTTTAAACAGACAAATACTGTTATTTTAACAAATTAAAATTTTAACAATACTGTTATTTTAACAAAAATACTGTTATTTTAACAGACAAATACTGTTATTTGTCTCCAGTTACTTCACTATACTATACTCGATATGCATTGCAAATTTGCTTTCCACTTCTTTGTTATGGAATCCTTGAGCTTTTTCTTCTCATTATATTCATTCTATATATATAATGATCTCTTAAACATCACCAAAAAATGCTCATATAGAAAAAAAAAATCATGCATAATAACATGCGCATTTAATTTGAATTTCAAGTTTATTATAGTTATTCATTTTTTAATTTAGTAATGGCTTGCCTGTCTGAAAAGAATCTTTATATGCAGTCGAAGTAGTTAACACATTTTTACAATTTTAATGGCTTGAAAACTGTGTTTTATATATATATATATATATATATTTATGTGTGTGTGNCTTTATATATATATATTATATTTATATCAGGCTTGTTTCCCAGAAAGAAAAAGCTATATGCAAATAGTTTGACAGTAATTTTTCACAATTGCAATAAGGGTTAAATTATGCTTTTTTTTACACAAAATCATAGCAGGAAAACTAATCGAGAAATAAATAAAAAATTGCAATATAGAATGATAACAACAATCTTTTAGTGA